TTTTAATACTTACAATGACATCATAAAAAAGAGTTTCTACATCATCAATTGAATCATCATAGTTACCATCAAGGCACAGAATTTCAACTTGAATGTCTTTAAGCTTTTGAAAACTGTCCTGCAATATTTCCTTCCGAACTAAAAATTGGTCGGTTTTATACTCACTGTCAGGATCAGATTTGTGATCGGAAATATAACGACTTATTCTAACCATGGAGTCGATTGCTTGCTTTTTCTTTGACAATAATTTATCAATTTGCTTTTTGGTAGCCATATTTACAAAGTTTACAATCAAAAAAATAAGAAAATATCAAAAGAAATCTATAAACAAAATTTAAAATTACCTAATAAATTAGATTTTTTTTTTTTAAAAACTACTTAACAAAACGAAAAACGGATAATTGTTCATCCTTTAAATAAATAATGAAAAAATAGCAATAATTAATGCGAAAAATTCAGTTTTTCAAAAATAATGCAAATTCACTCAAATTCACTGCAAAAATCCAAAATACACAAACAACAAACAACAAAACGTAAACAAATGTTTGACATTTAATTTGAGGTTATGTCGGGGGTGGTGAACTCTCACTTTCATGTTCGTTGCTCCGGGGCTGTACTTCATTGCACCAAGCAAGGATACTGCACCCGGGGTGACTTGGGTTTGAACCAGACGAGAAAAAGAAGCACCCTTTTGAATTTGACAAGTGAAGTTTGTTTGCTCCGCCCCACTCTACTTACGCACTTCCGGTTCCGGCGGAAACCTTCGCTGGTGGCACGTGGAACCCAACGTTGTTTGAGACACGTGCAGACTGCACAGTGGATGATTGATTTTTTTGCATCACATGGCGCCAAAAATCACGATGGAACAATCAATAACCACTAAAAAGGCACTTTTTTGAGGGTTTTTAAAGCACTTTTAGGTTCCGAACTATCCAGTATCCGGCTCGAACTGGCCAAAATTATGTGCAAAACCACATAATGGAAGATAAATAACTTGATAATTAGTGGACTGTATAATTAGGTGGACTGGATGATCGACTGGATAGGGAACTAAAACACACGCGCTTTTCACTGACACTATATTTACAACAATTTACACAATATTTACACTATTTACAATTACTACTACAAGATGACAAGAAGCCAGAGCTTGCTTAGATGCCCAACAGGGCAGAGCTAGATTATAAAATTTATTAAAATGTGAAAAGGTTTCTGGATGCTTGTTAACGTGGACAAGCTCCAAGCTACACTGCTGCAATGACAAAAATGGCGCGCAATATATTGACAGACATGACAAAATAGACATGACGACAACGCTGCAGTGTTGCAAACTTTATATGTATAAAAATATTTTGCCATCAAAAAGAGATAGCATGATTGTTGGAACATGTTTCCAACACATGTGAAAGTTTCGCTCATTCTGCAATTCACATAAGTGCCTTAAAAATACTTTTAACACAAATATCATACAATATTTTTTCTACAAACGGCAATAAAAAGCAATAACCACTAACAAATTGGATTTTTAAATGAATAATAAATTGGAAGCATCTTTCCTACATAAAATTCTTGAATTTGACATTTGTCAAAAAATCCATACAACTAGCACCTTGTTTTACAGGTAACGAAATGTCTTGTCAGTTTCTTGAAAGTCTGTCGTGGTCAGATACAGAAGAAACAGAGGGTTGCATCGATCCTTCGAAAAATATAGATGAGGCGGCCAATCGGGCTACCTCAGTTGTTCAAATTTCACCATTAATATCAATGTAAATAACTGAAAATGCAAACTTTTTTTGACGTCCGCTCTCAAAATTTGATGTTTCACTTTTAACACTAGTGCTATAAAGACTTTATGGCACTAGTGCGATAAAGTAACTAACATTTTTAATGCATCGGGGCCATGTTAAAAATTGCATTTTTAACACGTTTGTAGAAAAAATGATTTATAGCTCAGGCGTGTTTCCCGACGTTTCGGTATGGAAATAGCCATCATCAACAATTTTTCCTTATGTACGGAAATGATGTATTGCACGCGTAGCTAAAATACGGTATTTTCTGCTGCATTAGGTATATCTTTTTATTCTTTGTCTGAAAGTCAGTTTAAATATCGATTGGGTGAACGAGCTAGGCGACCAGTTAATGGGACCGTTATTACCAATCCAAACGATTAGGTACAAAATTATTCAGAAATCTTGTACGTCTGGGTTCACGATGTTCCGGGGCACCATCTTGCTGGAAGTACTGGAAGTTTCTGTTTACAATCCAAGTAAACATAGCCTGCAAATCATTCCGTAAAAATCGCCGGTACTTTCTACCATTAAGGTTCCTCCAAAAAAGAAGAGGTACACTACTTTGAAGTGGAAGATTCGAAGACAAACATTGATATCGACCAAATCTCTCCTGGAAAGCTGTTTTTTTTTAATGACATTCTTGATTTTCATAAGTCCAACGATAGTGGATATTGCGATACCAAGTCAAGTATCTATACAAAACTAGTCCCTTGGATGTAGATGATCTCAAGATCTCAAACGTAGAATTCAAGTATTCATAGTAGACTTTAGCAGAGTTTCTCCCGGAATGCAGCAGAACATCCAAATAAGAGTGATTAAAAATGCAAGACTGATGTGCTTGAGAAACAATGTTGAACATTTTCAACACACAATAGTGTTAGGTACAAGTTGCATTTTTTTAAATTTAAATATGTACCTATTTGTTCGGTTAGTTATTAAAATGTTTTCAAATTAAAATAAAAATGTGTGTAGTTGAATAACTTACTACATATTTTTATGTTGTATACAAATTAGGTACCTACATTTCATGTGATTCAACTCCTATGATCCAAAAAAATGCATGGGACCTTATTTGTGGAGCAAACGGTGGTCTTTAATTTTGTATAAATCTTCTCCCTATACAATACATAGGTAACGAGATCGCAAAAGAGTTGTTGCGAAATCTTCCATGACCATAAGTAACAGGGGTAGTTTCCGGGAGGATGTTGCAGTAGCTATATCCAGGGTATACCATTTAAAACGAAACAAGCTAAATATCTGATGTCACATTTTTTTTTAAATCGCTCGTACACGTAATTTGGTTGTGTGAGTGCGTGAACCATTTTCAGCACTTACTTAACCCTCTAGGGGGGTGGGACCAACCCTTCATCATTCAAAATGGAACAAGGGGTCGAGTGATACCTGGTTTTAAAAGAACGTTCAATTTTCTTTCAAATGACATCAAATGAAAGAGAATTGAACGCTCTTTTAAAAGATGTATCACTCGACCCCTTGTTCCATTTGAAATAGTGAGGGTTGGTTCCACCCCGCCTAGAGTGGTAAATTGTAAGTGCTAAAAATGGTTGCAGAAAACTTCCCCCTTTGTAAATAAAATTACGTGTACGAGCGATTTTTTAAAAAATTAACATGGCATCAGATATTCAGCCTGTTTCGTTTTGATGGTACACCCTGTATATTTTTGGAAATCTTATTCAGTGCGCTTACAGACCTAAATCAGGCCAGAATTTTTTTTCTCACACTTTCTTAATTTTTTCCATGGTTCCAATAATAGGGTAGTGGACAATTTTTGAAATCTTTTTTTCATTAATCTCCATAACAAAATAAATAATAGTTGATGATTCTTCGATTTTAGAAAACAAAAACATACCTAAAAAAAAAAAAAAAAAATTGTACTTATTTTAATAGTAGATTATACCACGAGTCAATAATGATAGCTATTATTCCCGAGGAATATTTACGAACTGAGCCGCGTTAGCGGCGAGGAAGTAACATTCCGAGGGAATAATAGCCATTATTGCGACTAGTATACTCTACTTTATTTACAACAAATTAATTTATTTGAGGTTTTCAATGAACAAATTTCATCCGTCTCATAATTTTCAATACAAATTCACAAGCACTACATATTTGACACTGACACTTTTGTGGAATAATGACCATTAATCCCGCTACTCGTCATTAATCCCTGGAGGAATAACATATGTCATTATACTGCCAAAATCACAAATATAATACGCACATTATACATTAGTCGTGAATAAACGCTATAATTTACCTCCCGGAAATTACGTCATAGCTGTTATTTCTTATAGCGTCAAGGCATTCCGACATTAATAAGAGTGGACGAGAGCGCGGTCAGTGCTTCTAGAAAAAGATGCAGATAAGCTCAGTGCGCATTGTTTGACAAATGGAAATCTCTCAAAAAGTGGGATTAAGTTGAGGGTGCGTCTGACAGGCGCTGATATATCTCTCTTTTTTGCACTAATGAGTAAGTGTGTGTCGAATATAGGACGAAGGTTTGATTCATTTCATACTCAAATACAGCAGCTATGACGTATAATCAAGGTCCCAGAACTGTACTTTTACAATCGTTTTAAACAAAGTTTGCAATTTTTTCTGAAATTTCTTTCAATAGGAATATTTTTCATTTATAATTATACCTTGTCCACTACCCTATTCTAGGTAGAAAATAGGGGTGCATTGCATAATACCTGAAAAATTGAACTGTTCAGCATTGTCCCTTCAAGATGATATGGAAGTGGGTTTTTTCAAATTTCAACACCCTTTGTGGTGGATTCGATTTACTATTTGGTCAAAAATATACCCACAACATCTTTTTTTAAGGACCTTCAACTTTGGAGCGCCAACCCACCCCAGCTAAGGGTAGTTGATAGACAGACATTCTGCTGCCTCTGGGTAAATTATAGAGCATTTTACTTCAATTTACTTTTTTACGAAATTAGGTATTTTCTGTAAAATGTAGCAAAAGCGCTACGTTTCGGATAAACAAAAGAAACCGACCTTTATGGGGTTGGAAGAGGATGTTCCAGTGAGAAATTCAGATTCAACCTTTTGTTTCCTGGTTTAGATTGAAAGTGTCAAAAAAAGTTTTGCAGCCTACTCGTACTGATATGATCTCGTCGGTTGATAGATTTAGTGCAAAAGAAAATTTAATTCTTTCTCTTTCTTCAACAGGCTGGAAAAAAGATATGGGAATATACTTGGAGCGCATTAAATCAACCAATCGGTAACGTCAATAAATAGGGATCAACATCTTGTTTAGAATTTTTGGATTTGGAATTTGAAATAAAATATCAACACCCTGTATGCAAGGATTTGTTTAATGTCATAATTTATTCTTTACCCAAGTTTTCACGTAGAATAATTATTAATTTAAATATCTTATAATACATTTATCGGCATTGGCACAGTATTCAGAAAAATAGATCTGATATCGGCAAATATACAAGTAGTAAGTATCAAGTACAAAAACAAATTACAAAAAAATACTTATTCAACAATCGAAAAACGTCCTACAGGCTCACGATAGAATAGACATTTTAATCTTATATGATATGGTACATTGGATATGGCTATTTTTGTCTGTTTTGATGATAGGATTATGGACAATAATGAGTAATTGCCAATTTTCAATTGGAGCAGTTTGGGCATAAAAAAACTTTGATACTTATATAGCTGGTGGAGTTGTAAACTTAAACTAATACCTGTAATTCATCAAAGTTGCGACGTTGCCTTTGTGTTTTAACAGACAAACGCAGTAGGAGTAAAGTGGTCCAGATTTATTCTGGTCAGCTCAAATAAAAGTGATAGTAGTAGTAGTATAGCATAGTAGGCTGGGTTCACAATAATGGAATAGGGTACTTGCATGGAAAATTAAATTGATTATTGTTTATTGCAAACTGCAGGAAATTCCGCCCAAATATGATTATTCCAGAAGTTATACAAATATTAAGTTTTTTATATATAGATATACTGAGCATGTGCGACGTCACAACTCACAACGTATTATACCTAAGTTATGACGTCGGAAGGACATTCCAAAGCGTTGTATATCCGTCAATTTTTGACTAACAAGAAAAAGAAAAAACAAGTGTTGACTTATTTTTCATTGACTATCGAAATCAGCAATAAAAAATTTGATGCAAGGGGCCTATTCTATTCGAGTGGTCCCCAGAAAGATATACTTCCGAACAAGTTTTTTTTTTGTGCGAGTTAGAATGTTGCTACCATTATACCGTAAGTTTTGGATGCTGCTCTCCATCTACATTATTGCTATGTCGTCGTGTGACACTCTGTATACGTTGCCAAATTGATATGGAAATGTATTTCCTACAATACAAAAAATTTACCAAAAAAACTTGACTTGGTAAGGAAGGATACAATTTGAAAATTCAATGTAGTAGAGCATTTCAAACACTAATGTATTGAAAAATGTTCTTATAGGTAGATTACACAAACACCGTTGCAACTTTTACAATTTTTCTTTGAAAAAAATACAATCACTTTGTCAAATTGATTATTTTTGAAGTAGTTCCTATCAATCCCATCATTTACTTACACTGACAACTTTCTACCGTGAGCTTCATTAAAAAAAAAGAAAAAACAAAACAAAAAAACGATTCTCCTTCTTTCTCTAGTCCGCGTCTACGTTTCGAACGCAAACACCTTCCTCAGATCACAACACATTTGCGCACAACATCACTTATTCTTATCGTCCAGTTTCCCTTTGTCCAACGACGACGTCACTAGCATACCCGGTTGCCCCTGTTGCGAGTTCTGATTCGGAAAAACTTTGTCCAAATGTTTCAGACTCTCGCCGAGAAAATTTTGAATCGCCGTCAGCGCCGCCACTATCGCCGGACTGCCGAATCCGTGACTGATTAGCGAAAAATGCGTGAGGTGACGCTGTATAGAGGGATCCAATAAAATTTGCGGTCGTGTATTGCACAGTGGCGATCTGTCTTGATTTAACAGGTCCATGAGTTCTTTCGTTACTTGTTTGGTGGCTTGGAGGAGTTCTTTTCGTCGAGGCGTTTCGCCGTGTTGACGGAGCAGGTACTCTGCCACTTGCCGTGCTGGAAATTCGGTTTCGCATACGTAACCGAAGTCTCTGGCGAGGTGGATTGCTTCACCTGAGAAAAGAAATAAGATTAAATGAAATAATTCTTTAAAGGATTAATTGAAGAAAGCAATCTTCTAGGTAACAACTGAGGTTTTGAAAGGTTCTGGTTATTTCGGTATCAAAATTGGAAAATTTTCATAATATAAATGTAATTCTTTCCTAGTGAGGGTAGTTAGCTATATATTACTTCGCACTATACAGGGTGTCCCACGGTGGATGGCGTATTAGACGTTTATGGAAAACTAAAAAGCGGATCATTTTGAAAATTTGGCAACCGGGATAAACGAATATTGACAGTTGAACATTGACTTTTTGTAACTTTGACAGGCTGTAATATTTTCAGCTATTGTTGTCTTTTATATATAAGTAGTAAAAATCCTCAAGATCTCTGTTGTTTCTAGAGTCTGGATGAAAAAATTAAATTTCCTGATACGTCAGCAAGTAGAGTAGAATTTAAGCTTCATCTAGTAGAATCTTATACTGAACATGAAATAAACACATCTTGGAAATTCCAAACTGATACTCGTCTAATTTAGATGAAATTATTTTCCTTATTACCTTCCACTAGAGAAGTCAACAGTGTAACGTTAGCTGCTTTCCTCCTCCCCGCAGGCAAATTAAGACCTATTTTCTCTAATTTTTCCCTGAGTATTCTCCCACCGTTTTTGCTCTTCGCTCTCCTTAATACTCCGCCCAGTAATGAGGCGTTGAGGCACTCTGGAGGTGATAACCTTCTTTGGACTTCGCCTACGGTGACCTTAAAAAAAAAACGCAGCGTGTTAAAAAATTAATTTCGAGCTTATCAAACCAACCAAAAAAGTTGGACTGAGATTGAAGAGACTTACTTTATATTTTGACGTTGATGACAGTAGAGATAATCGACCTGGTACAGAACAAAAGACGTCACTGGGCGATACCATTGCGCCTGCTCCTGAGTGGTCTTTACCTCCTTTCATACCTGAAAATAATAAGAAAATTAAACTTCATGCAACAGTTGCATACAAATAGTTCTATTCTATTATGCATGAGTGGGAAAAATGGTAGTGAATATTATCAACTTTGATAACCATTCTCTGCAATTTTATCTAATAATTATTGGCACTCCGAGTTATTTTTTTATTATTATTTTTTTAATGTATAGAGTCCTTTTGATGACATCTCTCCATGACGTCCCAATCCCACAACGGTTAGCCCCATGCCTGACAGATGTGCGCCACGCCCATAAACAAAATATAACGACTGTTTATTAGCCATATACCACCCTTTTTTGGCGCACCTTTTTGCCGTTTTCACCCCCCATCGAGCTTTACATTTAGCAGGCAATAGTTCAAATGGGGCGCAAAAAGTAAAAAAATTCATTTGATATATTATTTTTCTACGAGCGTGCATTTTTTATCACTTTCCCGCACGCATTTTAGTTCCGAAAATGTCACTTTCGGCACTAGTGCGCGATTTTGTTTTTCCCGCACTAGTGCGGGAAAGTGGCGTTCAGAAGAAGTGTCACTTTTGTTAATTAATCAAACATTTTATCTATTTTGTCTGCATACATTTTTGCTAGATATACTAATTTATGCGCTCATAAACTATTTGAAATATTCCTATTTTAATCCATATTAATCTAATTTGTGAATATTTCAAAAAATTTATAATTTTTTTTTACATTGTTTGACTTTTTGGTTCCTTTGAGGCGGGGCATTTTTTTTTACCTAGAAATTTTGTTTATTGTAACATCAAATCGATTTAGTACATATTTTTTTTCAATCATTCTTGAAAGTAAACGTAAAAATATAAAAATAAGTAATTTTGTAATTAAACGATTTCTTTAAGGTTTAAAGTCAGGCCTATTGTTTATTGCAGCAACGCGAGATGTCAGTACTGTCGCCCCTATAGTATGCCCTAACTTGATAGTCAAAAAAAAATAGAAATCTGCATTTGGTTAAATTGTGTGATGGAAAGTTTTTTCTTTTTTTTGCGGAAATTCGAATTATTATTCTGTTTTACATAAACAGGGTTGTAGTTTGGACCAACAAAAATGTTCATCCGTCGGATTTATTTTTAAACAGTGTAGCTACAGGCGTATTTCCAACTATTCTTGCAATAGCGAGAAAACTACAAGTTCAAAAAATACATGTTGCGTAGAATTGCAATAGTAGTTCGTAATAAAAATAACGGGAAACTTCATCTCTTCGTTTTGAAATAAATGGTGAAAAACCACTTTTTTTTCAGTTTTTGCGATATAACTCAAAAATGGCGAGTCAAATTTGCTTAAAAAAATTATGGATTAAAGTATATCAATAACCATAAAACATATATTTTTTTTGGAATTTTTGAACACAAGGTTCAGAAAATGGGGGTTGACTTTAAACCTGAATAATATATCGCTTTGAATTTACTTAGTTTTTGTTTTTATATTTGAACGCGCTTGTAGAAAAAATAATGTTCCTAACTCATGCGGAAAGTGTCTTTTCCTACGAGCGTGCGCAAAGTAGTACTTTTCCGCACGCATTACCGTTCTCAAAGTAGTACTTTTCCGCACTCAGTGCGGATACGGGCCTTATCCGCACTGAGTGCCGAAAAGTATAAATAATTGTCAAGCAACAATAAGTGCACCTGTCGACTTTGACACATCATGACAAATTTTTCCTCTGTTTCTATATCAGCCAACATCTATACAAACACTGAATATAATTAACTTTGACACATTGTCAGATTTGTGTTCTCCACATGCAAGAATCTACAAACTTCTTTCCCATCAAATTTAAACGCTTTAAGATGAACAGCTCTGACCAGGATTTCAATTTCCTGTTTTTTTGTTATGTAATTTTTTGATGAATGAATAGGTTCGCTACAAGATAATTGAAAATAATTGAACAAAATATCGTTTTTTTTTTAAATCTTTGTTGTTAACTACCTGATATGTGGCTCGTAGGAAAAATTTTGTTCCTAACACGTGCGCAAAGTGTCTTTTCCGCACGCAAACACTCATCCGAACTCCGCTTCGCGTCGTTCGTATAACTGTGTTTGCGTGCGGAAAAGTAACACTTTGCGCACTTGTTAGGAAAATAACTATTTCCTACGAGCGTGCGGAAAAGTTACTTTTCCGCACGATTTTACTTTTCCGCACGATTTTACTTTTCCGCACGATTTTACTTTTCCGCACGATTTTTACTTTTACTGAAAAGTGTACCCATATTAAAGTTCGGGGGCGGAGCCCCCTTATTTGCCCCCTTATTTGGGGGCACAGCCCCGCAGGGCCCCCTATTTTGGGTGGCATAGCCCCGCGAAGGTAGGGAATCCTAACAATTTTTTTGGCCAATTTAGTTATAGGCCAAGGATCATGATAAAAAAATCCGGTTCCATTATTTTTTTGTGTATAAAAAAATCGTGCGGAAAAGTAAAATCGTGCGGAAAAGTAAAATCGTGCTGAAAAGTTACTTTTCCACACGATTTTTTTATTGCTAAAAATGAAGATATTTAGGATCAGATAAATGATTTATGTTATATATTATTTTATATTATGTGCTATTTTGTACCACCATTATAAAATCTTTGCGTATTGGAACATTTTTTTTGATAAATAAGATGGACAAACGCACTCGTAGGAAAAATATTGTACCTAACTCTTGCGGAAAATGTCTTTTCCACCCTCGACGGCTTGCCCGAACTCCGCTCCGCGTCGTTCGTGCAACTGCCGTCTCGTGCGGAAAAGTACCACTTTCCGCACTTGTTAGGTAAATAACTATTCCCGCACTCGACTGCTTGGTCAACAGCAGTCGCGTGCGGGAAAGTATCACTTTCCGCACTTGTTAGGAAAATAACTATTGATAGAGTTATTCTCACCTTTAAGTAACGGTAAATCTGTAATAAACCCTGTATTATCGTCGATACCCGCTTGAGCGTCTTCCACAGCTTGTCCCAAAGCTTGATGTAAGGAAAGAGGATCATCGTGCCTTTGGGGTATTCCGCTGTAGTCTGGCCTACCGCCACCGGGGGCGCTGTAGGGGAAACTGGCACCATGACTGAGCTGACCCTGAATTAAAAAAAAAACAAATGTTCAGGATTTTTTTTGAGACACACATTACAATTATTGAATAATGATATAATATGGAAATGCCACATAAAATTACAATTTAGGCCGTTCACGAGAGATGAATTTGAATCAAATATTATTAGGAAAACTTAAACATTGATAGTTAGGTACAGACAATCTGGATGATCGCAAGATTTTTTTTCCTTTGGGATTCCATCCTCTAACATCATCATGCATCCATCAAGTTTCTATTATCTGGCTAAGAAACATCGTCGCGACGCCCCAGAAAAATGTCTTTATCGGGTCGAAGTTTACGAGGGTTAGTCCGGATATCCTGAATTCCTGGCAAGGCTGCAACTATGTCAAGACATCGCAAGAATGCGTTCCGCTCCTAAACTGGGAGCGCCATCCCTCGCGCTCGTCTTTCCACAGATTACATCATAATTCCAGGATTTTGTATAATTTTTTATGGGTGATAATAATATACCTATATCTCTTCGAAAACGAAGCTTAATGTTTATTTAATTATTTATTTATTTATTTATTTATTCAATTATTTATTGACGGGTCAAGTCCATTTAAAATTAACAAAGCGTACAAAGTAAAATGCCAATCAAAATAGATAAAGCAGAAACAAAGAATGGCCCAGAAAATCAATGTCTCCCAGCTCATTACACAGTCTGAGGGTACGACGAATGATGAAAGAGTGATATGCATAGTTGGTTCTGTGAAATTGAAGATGAAAAGTTTCAGTTGTGCGGGTGTTAAAAGATGGGACATGTAAAGCTATTTTAGAAGTCAGGTAGGGGCAGTCATTTGTGGAATTTAGGATTTTATGTAGGTATCAGTTTGAGGTCTTTCTGCTTCCTTCTTGAGGTAAGGGTTGATGAGATGAGTGCGTTACAAAGTGATGCATAATGAAATTCCTCATTGTTAGAGAATTTGTAATTGCGATATCTGCAAAATTAACGCTGCACACCTTCAAGGCGATGAATATGACAAGCATAGTCTCGACTCCAAGCAGATGCAGCATACTCAAGATGTGTACGAACATTATGAGAAGTATAACGTTTTGATGGAGTTGATATTTTCAAACTGCTTTGTACTACGCTTCACAAACCCAAGCATCTGGAGTGCTTTGCTAAGTAAAGAAATCACGATTGGTGCTTAGCAAAACACCCAGATCCCTGATCTGATTCATGCAGTCCAATGGCGTACCATTTATGTGGTATATGCAATCATTAAAGGTTCTAGACCTGTGGAATTTCATAACTTTACACTTCGTAACATTAAGATCCATGCCATTAGTAGTTTGACACCACTGAATTAACCTGTCAAGATCCTCTTGCAGTGCATGGCAGTCATCAGGAGTAACGATTTTCAAAAATAATTTCAAGTCATTGGCAAAAAGAAGAAATGAAGAGTGTAGGAAACAGGAATAGATGTCATTGATGTACAGGTCGGAGAGCAGTGGGCCTAAATGCGAGCTTTGAGGAACACCTGATGACACCAAGATTTGGGAAAAGGTAAAGTTGCTAATATGAACCATCTGTGTCCTTCCTGTAAGATAGCTTTCCACCCATTGAAGCAGAGAGCCGGAGATGCCAAGTCTCTTTAGTTTTTTGATCAGGACTAAATGATTGACTGTATCAAAAGCCTTGAAGAAGTGTATATAGATATAGTATGTACCTCCTCACCCCCCTACAAGACGCCTGTTAGAAAGTCACAGTATGTGAGAAGATTAATTTCCGTTGATGACCTCTTTTTGAAGCCAAACTGCTCGGATATAATTTCGCTGCTTAAAGATGATGATAAAAAGTTTGTGACAATATTCTTAAAGATTTTAGGAATTGCACTGATGATGCAAATTGGGCGATAATTAGTCACATCTGATGAGCCATCGGATTCAAGAATTGACACCACATAACTGGCACTCCAATACTCAGGGAAGAAGCCGTCCCTCAGGGACTTATTGTAAATTATATGCAAGGGTCTGGACAAAACAAAACAGCAGTTTTTCAAATAGAGCGGATGGATATGGTCAGGCCCTGGTTCCTTGTTTGTGTCGATGTTATTTAGCTCCATGTAGATGTCAGATAGGAATAGTGAAATCAAATAAATTGTGAGGAGATAGAGAAAGCTGATCTGGGAAATCCACCATTATGTCTAAAACTTGAAGGAGTCTTACTCGAGTTTTGTATAGATTTGGTATAGGAACACAACTGTTTTAGGTTATGCTGCAATGCCGATTCAGTTTCATTTAGGTATTCACGAAAATTCTCCCTAGAGAGCAGATTGCACTGTGAGTGCGAGTCAGAAAATGCCAGATAATCCGAAGGTAGGCGACTTTGTTTATATTTTTTATGTAAGATTTTTTTCTGTCTAATAAGTGCCTTCAAATTCTGAGAGAACCGTTTGGAAAACCTTCCACTGGCTATTTTTTTAACAGGTGCAAAGAGATCAAAGGCTTCATATAAAAAACTATAAAGAATGTTAATCATCTCATTCACTGATTTGCTTGAAAGCAGCTCATCCCACTCATCGCAGGAAAATTGTTTATGTCTTTGAAGTTTGAGACTTTGAAATCATAATAGTATCCATCTCCCTGTGCATTTGAATTGCAGTGATTATGTTATAGTGTGGCTTGAAACAACAGGGGTGGATGGTTATTATCCAACGGAAGCAGGTAATCATCTTCATCTGGCTGAGTTATAGCAGGTATCCTTGAGTGGAAGAATATCAAGTCAAGGGTAACATTATTGATATAAATGTTATTAAGCTAGTATAGATTGTGAAAAGCACATACTTCTGACATATTATGTATGTTGTATTTTATAGATTTCAGTATGAGCAAGGTAACCCTCCATATTATGGTGAGCCACTGAACATATGTCCTCCAAAGTCCAGCTGGCTTTGGGAAGATTGAAATCCCCTATGATGCAATATTATATGGTTGAATTGTTCAGAGATTCTTCCAAATTGTTACTGAAGCTTTCGCGAACTTCTCAATTGGGGAGTTTGATGGAAGGTATACGCAGCCCCGTACTTTTTTTTCACCACTGCCTATAACGACAAAAACTTGCTCGATGTCACCTGTTGCACCAATGAGATGGGATGATATTGACTGATGAACAATTGGCACAATTCGAGGAATGCCCTTGATGAGTTTAACTTGTATGTTCTGCTCATCCTGATGCTGGCGCAGGGGCGTAGTCACCGGTGTTCCGCGTGTTCTATGGAACACGGGCCCGGTACCTCAAGGGGCCCGGTTCTAGATGTCAATATTATTTTTTCCCTAGTAGGTAAAAAAAAAATCTATTTTACACATTTGACGCTAATTTATATAAACATAAAAAATACTCGAAAAAATATCTATATCTACGTAGGTAAAGTCTTCATTTCTTACATTCCTATGTAGATTTATACTTTTCGAGTTTACCACTTGTCGCGTATTGTACGGCCGAACCACTTCATAGTATTCCAGGATTGCCAAGTATGCCAAGTATGCCAACTCAAGGTCCTGCAATCCCTGCGTTGTGGTTTGTTGTGCTGCCCTCTTTAGGTGAGTTAAGCCTAGTACTCATAACAGCTCTTTTTTGACATTGCTTCGACAATTTGACGTTTTATGCGTGAAGCAAAAGTCAAATTGTCTGAGCAATGTCAAAAAAGAGCGAATTTCGCGGTTATGAGTGCTAGGCTTTAAGCTTTAATTTGAAGGGCCGGTTTCTCAATAGCGAGTTACCTCCGGGTTGGTTTTAACTCCAGGGTAAGCGTAAGAAGTTGCAATGTTTACCCTGGAGTTATGCCTAACCCAGGGGTGACTTGCTATTGAGAAACCGGCCCTTAGGGTATTTATGGCATGACATTGCACATGAAATATGTCTAGAATTTTCCGCAGAATCAAAAAATGTCATGACATACAGAATCTACGATTTAAAAAAATAAAGTTGTTAACGGTACGGTACAGCTGTTCTTGGAACCACCTGTAATAGAGGTCCGAAAATTCGGATCTCTAGTGTTCCATACTAAAGATCCGATAATTTTCGGATTTTCAATTTGTATATTAGGGGTCCGAAAATGCAGATCTTTAGTGGTAATATTGAAGATCCGAAAATAGATGTTTATTTCTAATTCTGTCGTAATTAAGGAATATTATAACATTTCAATAAAATGGATAAAATGCTTGTATTTTTAAGGATTTATACTAGAAAAAATGGATCCTATAATCCTTTTTATGTAGAATAGCTAATCAAGTTTACTCAAAAATATTTGGTTGGTGCAATTTCAAACAGAGAAGTACAAAAAACAAAACTAAGTACCTTTTTTATTTTTTTAAAACATTACATAATTAAAAATAAATATTTCATTATTTCAAGGGTTGATAGGGTGAGAGGTGTGATTTAGTTCCTTCTGCACTGCATGCAAAACCAGGCTTTCTTACTAGAAGGCAGCTTTGTTACTGAACAGCACACTTTATGTTTACACCAAAGACATGAATAACACCGTAAGCAATCTTCATGTACATACCACTTTGTTACATATATCACAAATCCATTTTAGAATACTATTTTGTTTTTCTGGTTGAAAACAGTCAGAACAGTCAGAAAACTAGTATCAACCAATGAAATTCACTCTGACTGGTTTGTGATTTCTGCAGAAACAGACTTATCTCGAATATTATTCTCTGTAGATACTTGCGACGATAATACTCCTTAATTAGACAGAATTAGAAATAAACATCTATTTTCGGATCTTCAATATTACCACTAAAGATCCGCATCTTCGGACCCCTAATATACAAATTGAAAATCCGAAAATTATCGGATCTTTAGTATGAACACAAGAGATCCGAATTTTCGGACCTCTATCCACTGCCATAAAAAAATTGGTGTGAAAAAATCTCAAGCAAAAAAAACAAAATCAACGTGTCTGAGCGGTTTTTCCAAAACGCCTTATAGTTATTAATGATACAAGTTCGATATGAACGCCATAATGAAACGCGTGTAACGTTAGTTTAGTTACACAAGTTTCATTAATAAAGTTCATATCGAACGTGTATCATTCAAAATTTAATCTACAATGGTCCAAATAGATTTGATTTGCCTTGAAATAGCAAAAACTTTTCAAATTAAAATTTGAAATTTAGCAGGTGCCCGTACTAGTCGAGAACCTGCTTGTTGGTTTTTAGAATTTTGACTTTGGCAGCTTCAATATTGGAGTCCATTTTTGTGCCATAAATTCAATTTTATAGTGGAAAATAATATTATTATTGGTGATTCTGAGTTCGAAAGTGTCTCTTCGAATATAGAGACAGCATTATTGAAAAGGTTCATCTGGCAACTAACGTTCTATTTGTATATTTTTCATTTCAAAATTTGGGTGTTATTATGAATTCTTAAACGCACTAGTGCTATTATGAAGGACCTAATGACATTCAAATGACAATGCTAAATGTGTCATAATGACACCGACGTAGATTAATTTATTTATCCCATTTTGACGTTTGATAATGACATTATTGAACGCATAACAATAAAGGTAAATAGACGTTTATCACCTCAGTGATTTAAAAACATTTTAACTCACTCACGGCATTTTAAGTCACTCTGTCCAACTACAAATCTAAAACCTCAGTGATTTAAAATATTTTTAACGCACTCCCGGCATTTTTCCTTGTACTTTTTTTTCTAAATTTCCACAAAATGGGATAAAATTTTGTATACATCACGTGAGTTAAAATGTTTATTCATTTGAAGAAAATTAAACCACTCGCTAGAGCTCGTGGTTTAAACTTTCTTCTCATGAATAAACATTCATTTAACTCACTTGGTGTATAAATAACTATTATATTGAATATGTTCCATACTTTCGTTCACCCTGCATATTTAGAAAAAAAAAAAAATATTTCTTTGATTTTTCAATTTTATTATCTCGCAAGAGTAGGGGCCCGGTAAAATTTTTGAACACGGGCCCAGAGCATCGTCTCTACGCCACTGTGCTGGCGTCTTTTCAGTTCCTCCAGCGCTGTTCTTTCAAGTTCTCTCTGTCTAAGTGTTAAGTCACACTTTATGTAGATTTGTTTGCGTTAGACTTTATGTCGATTGCGAAGCGCAGTCTGAACTTCATATGGTGATCCCCATACGTTACACACAGGGTACGCATTTTTTGAGTGGGGCTTGCCAAAGCGAGACACCCGACAAATTGAGTGCCAAGCAGTAACTGTAGTATAGAGCGAACCTCTGAAAAATCATCTTCTGACGCAGATAAGTTGAAGAGTAGTAAATTATTAGCTTTACTCTGACGGTCATGAAGTTCAGTTAGTAAATCAATAGATGGAGTGGAAGGTGGTGGTGAAGTCGTTGAAGGAACCAGTTGGGTCGGTGTATTTGTGGTAATGGATTCCAAGCGAGTGATTCTTTCCTCAATAGAGGTTGTAGCGGCGAGCACAGACTCTTGAATTAACGTTAGTAAGTTATTTTGTAGATCCTCAAGGGATTTTTCAAGATGTTCCACATGATCCATTAGGCCCAGTATTCGCTTTACATTAGCCAAGCATAATTTGCATAGAATGGAAAAGCACGTTTTGAAAGAACTATGGCTCTAGTTTCAGTTGGGCTAGTAATGTCCCCACAAGTTTGGCATGTTACCTTTTTGCAGTGGTCGCAGGAATATCCAAAGAGTTCGTTTTTCAAATAATTGGGTTCTTTAAAAATGTCTGCTACATCAGGTGCTGCATGAACCTGACATTTTAGGTCATTCCAAAATTTCACAAACGGACACAAGCCCTCAGACACACTGGCGTAATATTTTAATTTGATTTTGCAGGAGAGTAAACAAAAAACATCTTGCAGTTTGTAAATAAAACCTAACCCTATATTAGTAAGTATGTTTGCCCAAATTTCACGTTATGAATGAAAATTATGACGTTTTTGATGCAGGATGAGATATGATCCGATTTATGATGAAAAATTTTCTGATTGTTCTTATACAGTTCTTTTGAGTTATTGAGCTGTTTTTGCTAACCGTTATTCTTCTTTTTCATTTGTCGCATTCATAAGCAATGACTTGCTCTTATTAAACAATCAGAGCAAGGGGTTCATTTGACTTTAGACCCCTTGAAGAAGACTATTATCTTAAAAGCGACATTTCCGATAGATCACGAGAAAATGTAATATTAAAAAATAGACCTATATTCATCTACTATATATTGCAGTGTTGCCACATTCATGAACAATAGATACTCACCACATGCGCATGATTTGGATCACCTTCCCTCCTCAATCCCAACTGATTATAGTGATGCAACCCTGATAAGCCACCATAAGGATCGGCCAGGTACTCCAAGTGTTGTTGAGGTGGCGGACTGGGGGCGGCATGATGGAAGGGCGGCGGGAAATAGGGCGGCTGAAAATCGGGTTGCGGCAGCTGGTGTTGCATGGCAGCGGCCGCTGCGTGATGGAGACTGCCCGCCGCCCCTCGGCCGCCCGCGCCTGAGGCTCCCGCTCCGTAACCGGGCGAGCCGCCGCTTAGCGCTAAGGAACCGTGACCGCTGGCTGTTAATCGATCCTGAAACAAAAATCTATGTTTTGAAAAGAGTCTACCTATATATTTTGAGCGATGTAAGTTTAGTAAGACCAATGGTAAAACTGAAATGCGCATGCGTCTTAGGATTAGGTTAAGTTTTGGTTTTGTTTTCAACGTTCTTTTGATATCATTCATATTCAGATGATTCAAATGACATTTATTTACAGTACCAAAAGTAGTACATTGCTTATTTCATCTCAATTTAATTTTTTTTTCAAGGACTGCAAACTGTGTGCTCCCAAACTGTGCAGTGTGCATACTTCATGGATCTATCAAAAGAGGTGATTGTTGATAAATTCAGTTTCGAGAAACACTTTTCCATCGAAATAAGTAAAAAAACAGATGGAACATGGAATCTATCCAATCCCTTAAAGCAAACACCATCAAATGGTACACAGACGGTTCCAAAACTGCTGAGGGGACTGGAGCCGAAGTATTCGGGCCACGGACCAGATACTCGGAGCCAATGGAGAAATAACCAAGCATATTTCAAGCGGAACTTCATGCGATCGGAAGATGCGTGTAGTTCAACCTGAACAGAAGTTATCGGAAACGAGAGATTTTAATTATGTCATGGGGTCCAAACCTAACCATTTTTAAGAAAAAGGCCTTTGTAGTTTTAACATTTTTGACGAATATTTTAAAAATAGAGAAAATTTTAATCACTATCAATTATTAAGTAATTATGCATTTTTAGTCGACAACAATAATAAAAAATTGAAAAAACAACATGACAATTTCACTCGTAATTCGGTATCTAAACATCTGGCAACATAGCACAAAAAAGAATGGTTAAACTGATTAATCGATGCAAAATGCTCATTTAGCCGCCAGAATTTATAGGGAAAGATTTCCCAAGAGAACCGCACCCACCTGATGAAAAAACATTGTGTCCGTTTTACAAAAACGACGTGATATGGAAAGTGTGAGTGTGCAAAACTGCGTATTAATTTTAGTGTTTTGAGAACCTTTTAACAAAAATTAATATTTTCATATAATAAGGATTTGGCAAGTTCAAGTAGCTGAGTTTGACTTAATTTTTCTTTTGAATGTTTAGTGCAAAAATGTTATTGAGTGCAATTCACAACTTAATAAAACGGCATAAATTTTAATTTTCACTAGAAAAGTGATAAGGATGCAAGTTATTATTTACATTATTTGAAAGCCAGTAACTAACCAAAACGTAAACAGATGGAAATAAATAATTTCCTTGCAAAAGGAAAACTTTTCAAATTTACTAGTTTTACTTACATTATTTAAATCCTGGCAGAGATCATATTTGTACACTGTACAATGTTGTCACGTTTTTAACATTTTTCTAAATTTGAAGTCTGCGATAACTCCGAGAATACTAGCAATTGACCCATGGTTAATAGGACAGTTTTAGCTTGAAATGGGCCATATTATCTCATGTGAAAAAAATTGTGCTCATACCTGACACCTTGTCCATGTACTGTACATAATACAATAAATTCGTACAATTACCATGATAGATATCATTCTCAAAAGGTCCAATAAAATGTCAAGTATCGGGAAAATAGGTCATAATAATCGTGTGAAAAATTTCCATTTTGAGTACAGTCTCAATCGTGAAAAATGTCTTAGTATTGTGATGCATAATGTTTCTGTTTGTATATTTTTCATTTATACTTGTTATGTGTATCGTAACTAAGTATAAATTATTGGTGCTAGAAAATAATAACTTAAACTTCTTTGTGTTTGAGTTTTGCCTGTTTTTGGAACTCTATGTATACCTACATTGTTCCTCCTAATGTTATATCTGTTCCATTGGTTCAAGACTAGATTTCTTTTATACTGTCTCATAATCAACTAGGGACAAAACAGTTTTCTTAGGGGGAAGTCGGTTAAACGTGCGCAGCGGCTAATGGTGCGCACCATAATACCATACGAAAACGCCGATTATTTGATCAAATTCGTACACGTGGCGCCGTCTCATAGATGTCTTTGAAAGTAACGCTGACTTTCATGCGATTTGCTGCTTAAACATATCGGTGATCGTGTTTGGCGGTTCATCCGACTGTTTATATTAAAATTTAAGCGGGTGAAAACAAGCGATAACTTTGAAAATAAGAACATTCCTGTTTCGGAAATTTCACCAAAATAATCAGTGGGGTTCCTACTATTACTGTTCCTACTATTACAAGGTAAATAACTTACAATTTTATTTTTGTGAATTTTTATTACAATTAGGTCCATGTTGGCTAATTGTGCGCATCGCGCACAATTATCCGTCCTCTTACATTTTCAAACTATTTATTATGAATACATATTTTCATTGTTTCAGATGCCAAAATATGCCCGAAAAACAAATAAAGCAACCTGGGACGTAGATACAATGGAAAAAGCTATATTATTTGTTGCAAATGGTGGGGCAATTAGAGACCGTTAAAAGGAAGGTTTTTGAGGAAAGTGAATCTGAAGAAGTCTCAGACAGCCAGTTATGTGATGATGATGAACTTGATGACACGGAGGTCAATCTCGGAGACAGATGTTTGGTTTGCGACGACTGGAGCAAGAAAGACGAATACTGGTTTCAGTGTACGATCTGCGGCAAATGGGTCCATGAGCTTTGCATTGGGGTAGACTCCCCCGAATGTTACATCTGCGACTTTTGCGACCACTAGTTATGGTTTTTATGCAATAATTTAGTTTAATATTATGTTTGCAATAAACGTATTATGTACTTTGTTTCACTTGTTTTTAATCCACCCTTTATATCCGATAGTTTTCAATAGTTTTCTGTTGCGCACAATTGCCCTGACTAGTGCGCACCATTAACCGCATAGGGTGGATAATCGTGCGCAGTGTCAGTTTTTATCTAATTTTGTCCCTAGGCTCAGAATATTTTCTTTGTGATCTTTGGTTGATTTGGGCTGTCAGCTATAACACAGAAGAATATCTATGCCAAATTTCAGAGCTCCATGAGCCATATTTTAGAAAATATCTTTCTTTTTCCTTAGGTGCGCACAATTCACCGACTCTCCCCTATATCAAAGGCTCTTAGATTCTTCATAGAATGGTTTTTTGTAAATTATTTTTAAACATTTTTTATTACGCTTTATTGGTTTTCTTACGTGTTCTCAATTTCTACTGTGTAAATTATTTCAAATAAATTATCTTAAAATAAGTTCCCCTTAAATGGGGAGAGGGTGCTAAGAATTCCCCGGTCATCCAACGATGTCTTCAAAATAATCCGAGAAAAGAGAATTGGCACGTGGAACGTGCAGATTATGTACCAGGCTGAAAAAGCAGCAAACATAGTAAAAGAGGCGAAACGACTATAGATCAACATACTGGGATGCAGCAAGACAAGATGGCCAAACTCGGGACGCTGAATTGCACACTAAGTATACTTCTCCGGAGATAGTTCTACCAGAAACAAAAACGGAGTAGCGATAATTCTTGGCAAGCAAACCAACGAAGTTGTAAAAGGATTTATACCAATTTAGAGTCGAGTTGCACTAATCAAAATGAACGCAAAATCATTCGACATAAATGGCCCAAGTAGCACAGAAATATTTTTATTAGACTGAAGTGCTTTATATCCGATTTGTTAGAGCATTTGAAGTGACAAAACTGATTTTTAAGAGACTCAATAAATACAAATGTATCATGAAAACAAATTTATTTTGTTATTTTGCTATATAGATATTTTCAAGATTAATTTAAATAACAATTTTATAAGTTTGGTAATTTACTTGCTCATAAATATTTATATGACAAGACTTATAAAACTGTATTTGTTTGAGATAGATATATTTTGTAGTTGCTTTATAGCAATATTCACAAACAGATATATATCACTTATAAAAGTATGCATTTTGTTTTATTACGGCTTTATCATAAGATTTTATAGTATTTATGGAGAGTAATTTATAAAACAGTTCATTCTTAGCAATAATTTAGTTCCGTTCAATACTCTTATAAAACTATTTTATAATTGTTGTGGAACAAAATTGAATAAGGCACCTAAAAAAGGGTTAAATAACAGAAGTGTCTCACAAAATACAAAATTATTATTAGGGTAACCTTATAAAAATGTTACAGCACTAACCTAAAATTTAGTTTATCTACCTACGCTGCAGAAAAATCTTGACATTTCTAGTTTTAATTCCAGTGATAATTGATATAGCTACCTACCTATTGCTAATTATCAATATGTCAAACATTCCTTGCTGGATAATATTAAGAAGAAGTGACAATTTCAGGAAAGAGGTACAGGCTAATTTCGAAAGATCTGATTTGGTGTCATTTAAGCAACATATATCTGTATTAAGGACGTTTAGCTTATAATAACGTAACATAAGATAGAATAGTAATAAGGTGTCCAATTTCTAATTTTCTTATAAATGTATTCTACGATAAAAGTATCGTGAAATTGATAATGTCAGATAAACTTTATGATAATATTGTTATTTAAGCAATTTTTCTGAAGGCTATATAACAATAGTATTTTATAAGGGTTTTATTATTATAGAAATTACTTCAGATATACCGACACCCACGCCACCTAGCACCGTGATCTGAAAACAAGTATACATAATTCAGAACAGGCGATGCGACGTTGTCAAACTGAATATATTATCTTCAAGTATCCAGAATATTTATTTGTAATTCAATAAAAAATATTAAGGGTTGATTATGATCGAATGCCCTAGACATATACGCAAACACATGAACCGTTACAAGTTACTGTCTATATTAGGTAGGTACTGTAACCCTGCTGGTAAACCACAGTGAACTAAAAATTAAAATGCAGAGAAAGTATAATCTATATACCTACCTACCTATTTAATATAATTCAATTAAAAACTTGTTTTGAAATTGGAAAGAAAATGTGGGAAAAGTCACTGCTTCATTCGCAGAACTTCGCTTTGGAGACGGTGGTGGATTATTTTGGAAGCAAACAGCTCCTGCCTAAAATTAGACGTTGTTTACTTTGTATACTTGATGGGCCGTGG